AGCAACACATGAACAGCGCAAAGAAGAAGAATAAGTAATGAGATATGGCTCTGTCTGAAATGGTATATTCTACTGATACTGGACCATCACTCCCAGTGGGAAAACTCTGGAGGCGTACAAAAGACTAGGCATGTGTCAGGCCTGCGGCTCTACTCATTGCCTACATTGTGCAGCTAGCCAGCAGGCGTGGCGGCAGAAGCCTCCCGGCCTTCGAGGAGCTGCCTGACTGACCAGCCGCTGCCCAGATGGAGAGGCCTCGCTGAGTTCGCACGCAAGATGGCAGCCACAATGCCACTATTCTACTGGGCAGCATGATCACAAGGAAGGAGGGTATTTTGTAGGGGGGGGTTGCCTCTGTCACACTCAGCAGGTGCTGGACAGAGAAGAAGATGTAGGAGTGACACATCAGTGGGAGGAATATCTTGAAACAGTGACGATTGTGATTGGTTTCTCAAGGGCTCTGGGTTTGTGTAGCACCTTATGTTCTAAATGAATAAATGTGATATCTGATTTACTGTGATGGTGCTGAAAGCTGACATCTCATCGATGTAGTTAAAGAGAAAACACAGGAACTTAAAGCCATCATGCACCAAATGTGTCTGGGAAATAATATTATGATAATTGACTTAATCTGTGATGCTTCACAAACCAACACTCACATCGCACTGTAAGAGACGAAAAGAAAAATATCCTGCACACTGTTGAATTGGCACTTGGAGCTGAAACAATCAGCTGATTACTAGATTAACCATTTATCTGCAGCTATATTAATAATGGATTCATCATTCCAGTTACTGAACATTTTACTGGTTCCAGTTTCTTAAATGTGGGCCGTGACAGACCTTTTTCATAATTATCTGACGTTTTATATATTTTAACAACTAATAAGCTGACAGAGATAATAATCGGCAGAACTCTAATAATCATTAGTTGCGGCCCTAATGGGAATCCATGCAGTATATAAATAAATGTACAGTACGTATTGTAGATTAGCTTTACACTGCTAGCAATCGGATTAGTAGTATGATGAGCAGCTAACACGAGAGTATCCACAAATCACAAAGAATGTCTCGATGCTTATGACGTCTCTACACATTTAAAAAGAGGAAGCGCTGCAGGTGCAGTTCAGATTTCTCTGCCAGTTTCACTTTTTAGCATCCTTTTTCAAAGAAGTGCACCGTGGCACTGCTCGCCACTTTGCATCTTCCAATGTCTAAAACACACCTGTATGACTCAGAACGGCACATATGTTATCAGAGACAGTAAAATACCTCATGGAGTAGACTTTGTGTATTTTGGTATAAAGACGCTGCTAACAACTCAGTGCACTTCACTACTAACACACGACATGAGGCTACTGAAACGCACACAGCCATGAAGTAAATGCTTCGGAGTGCATCTATGCAGAGTGACACAGCCTACCGTGGGGAGTACGTTTTGCACCATCTGTGATGTCCTAATGCTCACGAGTGTCAGTATACTGTTAAGCTCTGCACCAAAGTCACCGCGATAAAACCCTCCTATCGCACTCGCCGATTAAAGGGACGGCGGACTCTGAAGAGAAGAAGCTGGAGGGGGGGAAAAACGAACTAAACGCGGCCATTGTGTTGAGGTCAGCGGGGCCTTGGACAGGCTTCAAATGTGCAATGAGATGGTCAGTGTACAGACAGAGGAGCCATTACTTCCCTGCTGAGCACATAAGCCAGACTCAGAGCTTAACGTAAGACAGTAACACAGCTCAGCTCCTCGCAGCTTTAAGGATCGACCACACAGAGCTTTTCTACCCCTCCTCGTAACTCGTTGCTAAAAAGAGGAGAGCCGACACGTCGCTGGGCTCACGGGCATGTCCTGTCACCTCTTGTCCTCGATGAGACTACTCCAATATAGTCATCAGTCAGTCACATGGGGAAGGAGCTATTGACGAAGAGATGGTAGGCAAGGGAAGAACTTAGTGGGGTCGAAGATTTAATGTGAGGGTCTTCTGCCTCCTTACTAGACGGGTCGAGCCTCAGAGATGGAACGCTGTGCAGTGTCACTTACTGGGACCAGGGCTGAGTCACACTGTGATTAGAGGAGTGGTCCATGTAGACTTCAACCCTAACTCTT